TTTGCATCATCTGAACCCAGGGGGAATTGAAGTGATTAGCATCTTGCAGAACTAACCCCATTATAGCTCAATTCTGTAAGATCTGCATTTCCTGAAGTACCCACAGACAAGAATGATACTCAACATCTATTTAACACCACCATTCCTTAGATGATGGCACAAGAGATTAGCAGCTCAGATGCCAACCAGCAAAGTGCTGGTCAGTGCAATGGACACAGTTTGATTCCTACTGCAGTACTGTTATTTTGGGCAGCAGTTTTTTCTCACAGGTACATGTGCACATTCCATCTCATGGTTCCACTTAGCAGAGCTACTTCCAGACCGATGAGAATTATACTTCATTGAAGCTTAGCTGTTTGTATCAAAGTAAGAAAACCAACAAAGTCTGGGGAATTCCTGCCTACTGAGGCTGCAAAACTCCTGAATCCTTCATGCACGGTTCCTGTTGAATAGTCCTTGAAGGGCAGATACATACAGTTGTAACACTTCACAATACTTTTTAGACATTTTAAATTAAAGGCTGACACTAGCAAGCTCTTTAAAATGCCAGACTTTCTCCTTCTGTTAGTATCAGATCACAACCATGAGACAATTAAAAAAGAATCCTTGTCTGTCCATGCCTTGCTTGGCTCTACTCTGACCCTAGTCTGGTTATCTTTTTGTCCCAGCTGCACAGTGGTTTCTGACTTACATGATATGTTACATGTGCCTCAGTGGTATTCTTCTTCATTGAACGTGCCACCTGCCCAGTTAGCTTGATTTCGCAGCTGTAACCAGTATTGGTTTTCATCTCTGTCCCTATGAATTAGCAGCGGAGAGCACTAAGTAGAAACAAATTATCTAACTACAATTCTTTGGCTAGGTTGATATGCTTAAGGCTGTGCAAAAAATAGAAATGGCGGTGCTGAAGCTGCTGAAAGGCTTTTCCAAAGCTACACACGATTTCTAGCGAATACTCAACAAGCACCAAATTCACAAAATTAAGTAGTTAGCATTCAACATCCCCTAAAGACAACGTCTGGACACAAGCAGTAAAAAGGGATCTTACAGCCTGGTTCAACAGAGAGCAATTCTACAGCCCTCTAGACATCGCCCTTTCCATTTTTGCAACATCGCACGTTTATTCTGTACCCATTTAATGCAGTGTTCAGCATCTCTCAAGTGGTTATATCCTCTCTCACACACACCCTACAAAACCATGCTCCAAGTTTTGACTAGAACAGGACAACAGAACTTAGCCTAAAGCACTTTACACATCATATAGCCAGATGCGTGCTGTACACTTCATCAAAATCACTTCCCCAAGCCCCATGAGCTTCAGCCACAAAGGAACATGTTTCTACAGGAAGCTTAAAATAAAAAGGTTAAGAAGAAACACTGAGTTAAAAGTTTTATTCATTCAACATCTCACATTACAAATATTTAAAAATTATATGCATACTGGTATAAATAGTCATTTGCAAACTATTTAATAACATTAATTTTCACTAGCACTTCAACAAATGAACTCTTTAAAAAAGTAACTTGTGTTATATAACTTAGAGTAGAACATACAAAAATATGAACTTAAACGTGAAAATGACTTTAATAAAAAATGAATTACCCTTATTTAAAATGCTATAATAAATACTACAACCTCCCCATACACAGTAAAAACTATATGGAAATTCAGCCAAGTAGTACAATTAACTGACATACTTAAATAACTTTTCCTTCTGATAATATGAGCAATACATTGGGGGAAAAACATATTAGGGATTAGTAAAAACTAGACACCCACTTGCTAAAAGTTTCACTTCCAAAAAATATAACAAAAAAATCTGATGAAAATTATAAAAACTAATTATACTTTAAAATTTAAAAATATAAAAAATAAAACAGTTGAATACAATATTGTCCCAATTCTTACAATGCTATCACAGTAGCTTTAAAATAAGATAATAAAATAAAGCAAATGACCAAAACCTTTTATTCCATTTTTTTTAAAAATAATCTCAAATTTACATTAGTAGAAAGATTGATTTCTGATTCTTTTCTTTAGAAACACCAGCAAGAAAGAGGATTTACTAGAACAGTAGAAAATGACATTTTTAAATGTCTGCAATTAAAAACAAAGAATTACACTGCAAAGATCTTCCAGAAGTCTGAAATAGGTATTGCACATAACTTGAAGTTAACTTGCCACAATTCATCACATTCAAGTTTTAAATCACCTTTTAACAGAAGGTTTTAACTCTTCAAAAACAAAAGGGGTGAATTATCAAGTCTTTCCAACAGCATCCTTATAAAACGCTAAATTCATTCACTGCAAGTTTTAAATTTGCATTCTGCAGAGGTCTGTGTATGGAGAAGTATATACTATACCAAAAAGCACGGGGCAGTGGGGTTCCTTTACATATAAAATAATCAGAAACACTTTATTTTACATTGCAAAAATAACCATGTAATTACTCTGTAACTACATTGTAAATACATGGCCAGTGCCATGCTAGTGTGATAAAACTACATGCTTATTAACCCCTTTGCAAATTGAAGTGATACCCTAAGACTGGTAACCTAATTACATGTTAATTATGTTTGGAGCTACATGGTAACCCCAACTACAAATCCCATGTAATCAGAAGGACATGTAATCACTATTTAAGTACAGAGTAATGTATATAATTGTTTATGCCCTGTAAATCGAAGTGTAACCAAACAATCTGTAAACACGCTTGTCACACAATCACAAGTGAATATTAGTAGAATAACAATTTCTTACATTAGTCATGCATACTAACATTACATGCCTGCCACTTAGCAGGCTCTCTTTTATTCTTTAAATATAATTTAAAAGAGCAGACACATTTCTGCATCAAACACCTAACATCAATTTTTTATTAATATTAAAAATGGCTAAACATTCACCAAAAACGTCTGCATTTGTGTATAATTTTTAAAAACTTAGTAAGAAGCGGTAGACAATTTTGATGTTTCTTTACTTTTAAATTTCTACACTATATTTATGCATTTAAATTTAATGGGTCTAAAGACAGTGTCATTTGTCACTTTCATGCTTTTCTTCTTTAATTCTCAACTTTACATATACTATTTCTTAAATTATATGTACACCAAATACCTGGTGCTGGGCTAAGATGTTTAAGCAACATGCTTTCTTTTCTCTGCAGATTCTAAAATAGCATTGCCAGTGCACAACATCCATAATTCAAAATGTATGCAGAGCACTGAAATGTATAAAAAGCAGAATATAAGAAAATAAAATTTATTAAAATTATTTATATTAAAAAATGAAGTATATGAAGATCTCTCAGTAATAAAAGTACAAAAAGCTACTCTTTGCAATATGAAAAATTGAGGTATTGCATAAAGAGATATCCCGTCAGTGAAAAGTGTGCCTAAAAATGCTCACTGTTGGAAAAACAAGATATACAAAAGTAGTGCATAACAAATATACATTATGTGCATGACAAAATAAGTTAGCTACAAAAACACTGTACCGAAATTCAGCAGGTCATGTACAAAGGGAAAATTATTATTCAAAGCTAGTTCTCAAACAGTGTTATTTCTTGTAATGGTAACCCATCTCACCTGTTTACTGGGTAGGATCGGCACAATAGCACACCCCAAGCCACCTACAAGCATTAAAAAAATTAAAGGAACATTCCAACTATAATTATGTACTTCAGAGAAAAAAAAGTCCCTGACAATCTACACAAGAGCACTCTGCATTTGCATTACTGTTGTCAATATTTTCAGGGATTTCATTAAAAGCAGCTCCCTTTCTATACTTGACTAGTAGACAGCAAATGTCTCCATTTTGACCTTTGGAACTTGGTAAGGTATAGTTCATTAAAGCCTGTATTGAAAATAAAAACTGCTTCTCATAAAGATAATCTGGGCTGGGGGAACGGGATGAGGGGGGCCGACAAAGGCTTTTAACGGAGCAGATGTTTTCCAAGCAGTGCTGAGGCAAGTCTTTGGTTTGAGAGAATCTAGGATGGTACCATGCCACTCGGGCAGTTCAGAAGATTGCCACTAAATTTGTTTGTTTGCACACTGCTAAATAATCACTTGAGATGTTGGCCAGGGCATTAGTTCAAAAGTAATAAAAATAATATTCAGAACTACTCCTTCATTCAACTATTTCAAACTAAACCCCTGCACCCACTCTTTATCATTCAATTAACATGTACTGTGTTAATGCTTCTCAAGGTAGAACTTATTCATAATAAAGCAGGCATTAACTTAGCAATGTTGGCACTTCAAATACCTGTGTTTCTTTATTTCCCCGTATTAAGTTCTGAAGAGGTGGAATCTTAGTTGGGATTCTTTCTACAGGAAGAGTAAGAAAGGCATATGCACGCTTGCACCATTTCATGCACAAATTCAGAAAATAGTGCAAAACAAGACTTGGAAACTACTTAGGTTCATGCCTTCTGTTACCACTAAGTTAGAGGGTATTTAAAACTATCTTTACATCCAAGATGGGAAACGAATAAGCAGCCAATTTTAGTTTGTGTGACACAATGGAATATCAAAACTTCAATAAAAATCAGTGATATCCTTGAGGTATCTTTAGGTTTTCTACTTTTTCACGTCAAAATGGAGAGCAAAAGCTGGCCCCTGATGAATGTTAGTATATTAGGATATAGAGTTATATATAGCCATCAAAAATAAAATCTATATATTTATCCTTCAGGAGAGGAAATGCCAGTTAACTAGTTGTCATTACTCTAGCTTTGGTAGGATTTCTAGGGCTGTAACCAGACAATTGAATTCTCTTAAAGAAAAAAAAAAGTGCACTCCCCCCTCAGTAGTAACTTTACTCAACTTTTACATTCAGGAATTCTTAAAATGTAATCATTTTGATGAAAACAGAGTAAGCTCTGCCTATCTCATTAGTAATTTGGATGTGGGTGGTAGTCAGAGGCACAGTCAGATACATACCGAGCTAAAATTTCAGCCTCAAAACCCTTAACAGATTTTAAAAAAAGATCATTATTATAATGCTGCTTCAACTTTGCTCATGCATTTTTGTTGCTTTAAACATGCTCTTTCCTGTTGGTAGGTAAATGCTAACTTCATCTGTTGCTGGAAAAATCCGAAGTCGAAACAAAAAGGAGGCAAAAACAGGCTTCCCTGGGGGAAAAGTGTCAGAACAGACTGATAGTGTTATTGTTACACGGTTATTTTAATAAAAGTATTCTTATGTTCTTTATTAACAATAATTTAATTAAAAACCCAAAATACTCTATTGTTTCAATTCTCTTTTCTTAATATTTTTCTCTCTCCTCTAAGAAAATGTTGCATGAAATTAAGTGTTCTCTCGGTAGTAAAGACAAGAGAATGCAACTCACTTGCAACGTTATCAATACGAAAAGGAGTTCCCAATACAGTTTTCAATGACAAGATTCTACAAAATACCCATATTATAGGTCATTCTTTCATTATACTATTGTTAAATTACAGACTACTACAAAAGGACATGCTATCTTGAATAAGAGAAAGGGTAGGGTGGGGTAGGGACAATCAGGATAACAGAAGAGTGCACTTAATTTGAGGCCTGCATATGAGCACTGCAGTGATCATTTAGTTCCAGCGGAATGAAATATGTCTTGGGCGATCTCCTCCCTCCTTCACCAGGGGCTTGTGGAATTCCCTGCCAGCGCGTGAATGGATAGCAGCCCAGCAATATTCACAGTAATACTGCAGACAGGTAACATTAGCACAGAAAAACGGAGCAAATTTTCCACCACAACGGGCCCCCTGACATTCATCACAAAGCTGATCATCCAAGACATATGGCTTAACTTCCACCTGTATTCAGAAAATGAGAAGAAAGTTTACAATTCTTAATAACAATGTAGATAATGACAATTCCACACTATTTAGTATCTGTGTACTAGCAGGATTGCGATCACAGTTCTGTAGTAGGGAACATCACACTCAAGAATTTTCCCCCTCATTACACATGATCATCATCATTAAACACCCAAAACTACAGGCACTTAACTGGAGAACAATCCTGTTCCCACTGTCCTCCTTTGATCCTTAAAAAAACCCAGAAGCCAATGCTGACCATCAGTATCACACATGCTGTCACTGATTTACAGAAAGGACCAATCAACCTATTGTTACAGAACTGATACACAGACTCACATCAAAACCCTGGAGAATTCTGGGGGTTTATTTTTAAGTACGGTGATGCACAATTAAGCTCCTACCTTTTCAGGTAGGAATGTAAACTGTTTACACAACACTGTAACTGCAGATTAAATATGCATGTGGTCTGCAAATTTCAATGTCTGAATTTCCAAGTTTAAAAAATTTCATTTATTATCTTAATAAACAGCACATTTCTGTTTTCTTCTTCTGTGGCTTAGTCCTCTCAGCAAAAGGAAACCTACCTAATCTTGTTGGCATCAAATGAAAAGCTTAAAATGGGACTGATGGCCACCTACGCTGTTGGCATTAAGGGCCAGATGATGAGCAGTAATTCAGTACAGCATACAAGAAAGGAGAAGAAAAATTTCAAGTTCTTAACTGATAATGACTCACAGGAACTTACCAGCTGGTGCTCCAAGGATATATCTACACTGCAACATCTGCAGGCTACTAGCTTTTAATCTAGGCATTTGCATACCAAAACCAAGCCTGCTGTACTGTGGGCTACAAAACCCTGCTCAACAGCACTCCAGAGCACTTTCTCTGTGACAAGGCAAAGCTTGCTGCTCGAGTATCCCAGCTGGGTAGAGCACAGCTCGTTTAGACATGCCTATATGTTTAAATCACAACTGCAGCACTGCCATCCCCTAAAGGCTCAGTTTCACCTCAAAACCAGTAATCACCTCCACTCCCATTCCTTTGCTCTACAGAACTGTAAAAGGTCCATGTGACATATCAGAAGTGCAACACAAAACTTAAAAAAACCCCAAAATGTTAAAAAAGTATAGGTACATCTAGAAGTGCTTGTGAGCCTTCTCTGAAGCTCATGTAATTAGGCGTTTTCACAAGCATTTCCAAATATCCAGACTGTGACTCGTGTCTCTACCGTAACTTGGGTCTCTACTGTTAACCTGTTATCTCTACATCTGGCTCCTTTCTGTATCTCACAAATCTCAGAGGTATGCCAGCTCATTCCGATAAGGACCTTCACAAGTTCCTGGGGTTTTTAAACTTACCCAATTTTATCACAGTCCAGACAGGGCACTGCAGTAGTTTGATGCCATTTGTGCTTTAGTACATATAAACTACTTGGAGACAGTACAGCAGCCTTTTTTTTGGCCTCAGTTTTTCTCCTCTTCCACTGCTAGAGTTCTGTTTCTCAAACACCCCTCCATGCCAACTCAGAAGAATGAAATTGTAAAAGAGCAGAGGCAGACAAATATTCCTAACACCATATTCTCCCTTCATCACCTAGTTTGCTATGTAGTTTGAGGCTGGGTATTCATTGATGAGTGTTGTCTTCTACAAGTGCTAAGAGGAGAACCTACAAAGATGCTATGCATACCGCCTTAACATGGCAATTCTGCTGCTCTGTTATGTCTACTCAGCCATATACAGAGGCCAAACTACAGCACAGGTAATTACACCTCTGCTTGCTTTAGCCTGTTACTGCGGCACTGGTTTTTATGCAAGTTTGCAACCCACAGATAACAGTCAGAGTCCTCAGCCCATTTATTTAGTGTGTGCTGAAGTGCATGTGCCAAATACGGCCTGCAATTATTACTTGTGCTAGGTGTATCGAGGTTGCCGAACTACAGAGAAATAGCTTAAATTACAGCAACTTCGTCAGGCACGCTTAGGGTGGCAGCACTCATCAGAAGCTTTGCAGTGGTGGGTGCTGCAGGCCACTGAGCATTTAATTTGCATTGTCTCTTTGAAGGGCACACCCTTTAGCAGCACCTCCTTGCCTAATTTTACAGGAAATCCCTTGTTGTTACTAATTTTATTTTTATTTTTACAGAAAAACTTCATTAGAAAAAATTATTCATAAAAGTAGTATTGCCATATTGCCACTGTTGCTCTTTTGTATCTCATGCACCCAAGCCCTCTTATAATGAATCCTCTGAGCACTTACCCTCCCACATTTCTTCTTAACTACACACAAAATGGGGAAATAAGGAGTGGGAGGAGAGAAGGAAGGGGAAATAGATTGCAAAATCTTTGCTAGAGTTCACAAGTACTTACTTAAATTTGTAGTCCCACCAGCTTCAATGGACCTATTCACCCAAGTGTCTGCTTATGCAAGCAGAAGTTGCACAAGGGCGGCCCAAATTATTTGTTCAAAGCCGTACAGAACTTATTTCAGAGCCAAGATTAGAACAAAGACATTCCAATTCATAGGCCCACAGTCAAATTGTTGTTACAATTCTTCTACCCAAGCTTTATAGCCAAAGCAGAAGTGAAACGATAATCAGCTAATAAGCCAAGTTTGGGGGGTTTTCCTCTGTAGTAATTATAAAATTAAGATCAATAATGACAGTCATATAAGAAAAATCCAGAGACAAAGCATAAATCAGACAGAACAGTAGATGTAAGTCTCCCGTCTTTTGAGAGTTTCTCAAAATTGCGGCCCAAAGATCACTGTAATTGGCAAAGTCATATTGTATACAGGTGAGAGGGCAGAGGCAAGCAAACTGCAGACCCATTTGGCATATTCCTTTAATTTATAATAATAAAGGATTAAAATAACCAGACACAGCCTTTACGTAAGCTGCGGAGGATGACTGTGAGGCTGTAATGCACACTAACGAGTTTACAATGCATTACTATGATTCTCTCTAGGAACACCCACCACACCATGTGTAACACTAGGGCCACATTCTGCCCACTCTCTCAAAAGATGCAGAACAGGAGTAAGAACTGCTCCATCCTTGGCAGATAGCTTACTCCCTGACATTATACAAACACTACAAGTGCAAATACTTGCAGTGGGAGTATATGACGAGTGCAATATTCATATAAAGGGCAAGGCAGCTGACATGCTTCCCATTAGGCTGAGCAATTTGAGAAAGTCTGCTTCACAGTTGCCTCCCACGTTCAGAAGCAACAGCTCTGTACCAGTCCTTCATTTTTATTCTGTGTTGTATCTAAGTGGCACAATCTAACCCTAAATATGCAATTAATCTGATATAACATTTACAGTCTTCACAATGGCACACATTTACATGGAAAAGCATTTCTAGAGAAAGCACTGAACGAAAATAGATTATGCTTGAAGACCTTACCCGTTTATCTATCTCTCCATGCTGCAGCTGAACAAAGCGAGCACTGATAGCAGCTATGTAACTCTGTTGATTAGAAAATGCAACCCGCCCAGCTCCTTTTGGGTACTTCAGCTCAGGGTCTGTGTCAATTCCAGCATAGCACACCCCTCCATACAGCCGATCCATTATCATTGCAAGTTCCACTAAACCAAAAAGGAAAACGAAACAGTGGAGTAGACTTGGTAATTTTTTCTAAAAGCATCAAATGAAACAGTCCATTTGTATTCATGTCCCCCACTATAAGTGTCAAGAACACTTAATACTTCCCTTGCTGAAATAACTTATTCCCCCCGTGGCTGCCCCAATCAGACTGCATATTCAACACGCCCAGTGCTGCGGAACACAGAGTGTACCTGCTCGTAAAGGCCGAGGAACACCACCAACAAAAATGGTTTTTCGTGGGTCAAGAGGCTGTGAACCATCCATAACAAAATCACTATCACTAAGGTTCCAAGGCCGGATCTGAACCTATGGACAGAAAGCCTTTTTTTTAACCATTCACAATTCAAAGTATCTCAGTAATATAAATTAGAACAGTGTCCTACAAAGAAGAAAACCTCTTAAACGGCTGTACTTTCTAAATTCATTTTCTACGCGTTCAGCAATCATTTCTCAAAACGAAATGGTAATAAGCTCTGCTAAGACAGACCACTTGATCATACTAAATTTCACCACTTCCTGGTTACCCAAATTTCTGGGAAAAAACTCACCCTCTACTTACCATTTACTTAATCATGACTGAACTGTGCTGTATGAACCACATTGGTGCATACGTATCTACGCTATTCGTGTTGTTCTAGCCAAGTGTAAGCACTAGACTAGCGTTATCTCAATGCAACAGGCTCCAGTGCGCAAAGTTGCGTGTTTATTTACTATGCAAAACTAGCTGCTTTATATTTGCCTACAGCTGGTCAAATTTGAAGTACAGGAATATAGCAGAAGTCTCTCCAACTATAAACAGACTCGCATCAGCCCCAAAACTATTTGTACTAATAATCTACAGTTCAATGCCACGTTACGTTTTTTTGGATTTGTCTCTGTCAAAACATGTTACATGCAACACTCAGACAATATGAAATCTACATTTTATTCAATAATAAGCATAAAATACCTGTCTGGAAATATATTTATTACATCAGCAATGGTGAAATTTAGCAAACCTTTTTCTAAAAAAAAAATATTAATTCTAACTAGACTAAAAACCTTCATAATGTCTAGTTTAAAAACAAGTAAGTTGGTCTTCTCTTTGAGAACTTAATTTGACACCTTAAAGAAATTTAAACATTAGCACTCTGAAGACAGAAAAAAGGAAAAAAGGCATATGAAGAGAACAATTTCTGGTTATCATACAGGAATTGTGCAGGCCCTGACAATTCTACCTACCGGTTTGTCTTTGATAGTGGGGCTGGAAACACAAAGATAGAGCTTTCCATCTTCTTCAATACATGCATCAATCAGTGCCTGAACAGAGCTTTCATCTTGGAACAGCAAAAATGCATATCCTACAACAGGGAAAACAAACACGTAACTTCTTTTGTCTATTTGCCTATAGGATAATAATTTAACCCAGAATTATGTTTGGCACCATGTCATCATGCTACCATAGAGTAAAGGACAAACTAAGATGCTCTCACACATTTCCAACCCAGCCTCCTGCAAGTCCTCCGCAGAGACATGAAGAAAGCAGAGAACTTGCTGATCAGCACACTCTCTCCCCATTTTCTTCGAAAAGGGTAAGCCAGCGGTATGAACTAACAAAAGCTACAGCTGTAGAAGCAAACTTGCCAGGATGGTTGTTAATATAAGGCACAAATCCTTCCCAGCTTCTATGGAGGGCATTTAGTCCCCTTAAAGAGGACTAGTCTTGACTATTATTACAAAAATGAAGAACAACAAGGGGAGGAAAAGGAAAATGGAATAAAGTAAAACCAGGAAGTTAAGGAAGAATTCTTTTAGTGCAGAGTAATTGCAAAGCCACATTCAGAATTCCACAAGTTTATAACAATCCCAAGGATTTAACTTTTTTCCCCTAAACATTGGGTCAATGTCACAAAACTCTTGTCTAAAACGGAGTCTTATCAAGACAAATGATTCTAAAATGCTCGTATGTTATTGGTTATCAGATATTTACCTTTAGGAGGAAAATAAGATTTGCTCTCTGCCTTGTGTGGCCAGTCTACAATCAAAGGTCCAAAGCGACGAAAACTAGCAGTGATCTCATCTGTAAAAAGAGAAGGAAAAAGACACAAATTGAAATTAAAATAAATTGACTGGAAGACATTTGAAGAATACTGATTTCAGGTAGCTTCATCCTATAAATAAACATTCTGTGACCCTAAAAGCAATGCTTACTAGCTGATGGGGAAGCTTTATGACGAGTCAGAACACACATTAGAAAACAAGACAGGTCAAAGATCAAGCTTTTCTTTCTACTGATGATTAAAAATAAAAGCTCATAACCCACTAATTCGCAGAAATGGAGTCACTGCATCTACACAGCTATAATAACCCAGCTTCAACTATTCTCGCACAAAGAGTTTAGAGACAATTTGCTGACTCGGTAGTAAGCAATCAGCTCTGCCAATATGCCTTATAATTGCAGAAAGACTGGAAAAAAATTAAGGGACTATCACAAGACCCAGCCATGCCTGTTTGTATCACATGCCAGTGCCACATGTGCAAACACTATCTGAGCTTGACCTCAAACTATCAGAGTGCATAGTTATGTAATTTTATAGGAGAGATGGCAAGAACGTATTACTATATCAAGCAATTCTTGCATCCATTTCAATTCTGCCTTTGACCTCAAATTACTGGTATAAATTTGCATATGTTAGTCCCATAGAAGTCTTCTAGTCGCAATCCTGTTGTTCTTGAAATTGAGTGATTATTCCCTTTTCCTTCTCCACAAACACGCTTGAACCATCGCTAGTTAAAGTTCTCCGGACAAGAATTTTTCATTAAAAAATTGAAACAAAAAGAACAAACTTCACATTGCTGGAGCATCATCTAAATTGGCACGCTGCTCAACTGTATCCTGTTTACAGTATTACAGGGCTTTCTATACTAGCACACTGTTGGGAGTTCCTAATACACAATTTAGAGGATCTTCACCATCCTCAAATTCAGTTAGAAATCTGAAAAGGTGTTACTAATTGTGTCTTTTTCAGTTTGTTTACACTCTTTGATGACATTACTAATGAAATAGCAACTGACAATCCACTGTACGGACAGCTTCTTTGTGCACTACAGATCATCAGGAATGTATACAGCAATGGTAATGTGTCAAGGTTACATGCTGATGAAGATATAAACCAAGGAGAACAATACTTACTACATATCTATTCTTAAAATAGATCTCCATTCAGAACAGCACTTAACACAAATTTAATGTTAAAGCACATACATAAAATGCTTTCTAGAAACAGGATTTTAAAAAAATGAAAAATTCAGCTGTGATGTAGATTTTAAATCATATACTCTTTATTCTAATTCACACTTGTGCATTTAACAGGAAGAGCGCTGACAGAAGCAACTCTGAAAAATTCAAGCTACTCTCCTAGCACAGGTTAGGAAAGGTCCTATTCTTCAATAGCTAGGGTCCACAGAGACCAAACTATTCATGTGCTCATCTGCTTTTAAAACAACAAAGGTGACAAAGTTAAAAAACAAACAAAACCCCAACAACAACAAAGGGAGAGACTGTAAGATCATTTTTCCTCTTATAAACACCATGTTATATTTGACCTTTTAATAATAAAGTAGCTCTTATGTTTGACATGAAAGTCAGGTTGTCATGTCACAGTAGCACACACTGCAGTGCATTACAATCACTCTCCCTGACACAAGGAGTAGGTATTAAAACGATTCTGTGATTACGAAAAAGCAACTTTTCAGATTTACAGTTGCTCTATTTCTTTAACCACCATCCCAGCACGTTCATACAAAGCGACTGCAGAACTCTGGTGAAATGAAGCTTCACAACACTTGTGCATTATATATATATTTTTTTTTTAATAACAACTGCAGTATTCTATTAGTCTGTATGATGGACCCACCACAAATTCCTGGTTCCTCACTGTATTCAACTGCCTCTGTACAGATTCGTTCCTGTCTGAGTCCTCATCATGCACACATTAGAAGCTACCACAGGACATAATTATTGCTGAAAACTTCTGAGAACTACACATAAGCATCCAAATAAAGAGCTATGACTTACTATGCCATACAAACTTTACAAAACTACTAGCAGTACTTTTTCTACTACTGGCTTCTGGTGCCTATACAATGATTGCAATGTATTTATGAGTTTCAACAGGTGATACTTACTTGTTTATTTTTGCACCACTATCCCTTTTTTATAATTTTTATACTGTAAAAGTCAGTTAAATGTGTGGTAACATGATTTTGTTCTTCAATGACAGAATAATGCTATAGTCTAAACTAGTTTTGAATTATCTCACGTTTGCCATGGACTGAAAGTGGTAACATGCAAAGATCCATTTACATATCAAAGCTTTTCTGTAGAGTTCGGAAAACAATCATTCATTAGCTAACAGACAAAAAGTTTCACACCACAGTTTTGTCATTAAGCCAGAAGGAGCTTTTCTGGATAAGATTTTCTGGGCGCACCTTCATCAATATCTGGTGGCAGTCCGCCAACAAAGACTTTACGGGAATACCGTTCCACTCTTTCTCCATTCTGATGGGAGAAGCAGTGAGGTGATCCTAAACCACTGTGAAGGGTCTGATCCCCACGTCCATCATCCAAGAACCCGTCTTCCATTGGAAACAGTGAAGACTGACCTGAAGAAGGGGTTAAAAAAAACAAAGAAGGAAAAAAAAACATACTAACAGAACAAAGCACACACTGTTTAAGTAATTTTTAAAAAATGCGCTAGTTGCTGCATTAGCAGTAGAACTGTTTGCAATCTTCCCTTTTAATGAGCAGTTATGTTCTCAATTTCATATGACCCTCATAGTTTTCAATATCATTCAATAATTCAAATGCATTATTTCAGAGAAAAGGTTGCTACCTTCTTCATAACCGCATTACAACTAAAGAAAATTTGAAACAAAACAGTACTTCTAATGGATGCTCAAGTTGACCATTTATCCATAATATTTCATGTTTCCAATTAGATTTCTTTTTAAAAGGTGTAAAAACAAAGAGAATATAAGCCAAATTTTTTTCTGGGACTTTTCCAATAGCAGACATCACTAAAACCTAAGCCATATATATAATTTTCCAGTGAACAGCTTCTTACAATGAGTAGATACAATTTCACAGTGCAGATGGGAAAACAAGAATTCTACCAGCTAAATATATTACACATTTAAATTACCTGATATCAAAACATATCATAAACCGCCCACTTCTAAGTAACAAAAATATCCTGATAAAAACAGGAAGACCCACTGTAATTTACTGCAAATGAAGACTGAAAACTAGGCAATACCGTGTCATTCCTAGAAGCAAGTTTACTTAAGATGTTACAACAGAGTTTCGTTAATGGACTCACTCTAAGAGAAAATGTTGAAAGCATGCTTCTCCTCACAGCCCAATATTCTTCTATGATAATGCTTTACCATAGATTTCCTTAATAATATTTATTTCTTTTAAATAAGATTCTTCGATTTGTAAATGCAACTGTATAATACCATAAATAGAACACAAAAGCTGATCTCTTCCATGAATTCATCCTTTAGTTATAGTATTCAATATCTAGACAACAAACTGAATAGACTTCTACTCATTTAAGGAGCATTTTAGGAATAAACAAATATACATAGGGAAAGTAAGCAAATAAATGAGGTGTGCTACAAGTTTTAGGATACATTTCCTTTTGCCTATGATGCAATATACTATGTCTGCTTTATCAGAATTCATTACAATCTACCACAGTAATTTATTGGTAAGGTTAATTTATCCTGCTCTTGCTTCCTTCCTTTGAAATAAATTTATTTTAAAAAAGAAAACATCTTGAAAACAGAAAATTTGACCAGTTCCAATATCCAGACATTTTCCATGCAAAAATCAAACAGCTAGCAAGTTGAAAGAAAAAAATACAATAAAACCACAGTCCACAGAATTTACACGAATAAAAAAATGGAAGGCTCGGTCAGCTTGCTTTATGTGAAATTTCAAGAATCTTTGTACACCTTTAATTAAAATAAAAATAACTATAATCAAGCCTATTTCTGTAGCTAGGCAAACCTGTTTCCTACTATGATAAAAATATTGTAATACAGACTTTAACATTATTTTGTTTTCCCTAATGAACTGATGCACACATCTTTTGTTTCATCTCTTAAGACCCCAATCCTGCAGGTATTGTTGGAAGGGAGCAATTCTCCATACCTAAAAAACCTTTTCAGGTTCATCAGCATTACCACTGCTGTTAGATAATTCAACATGCCAGCTTGCAGGATCTGGTTCTTTAATCTAGCAGGCCAGGACATACATTCACTATAGTCTATGCTGCGTCAAGAAAACCATCAGCCCCCAGCAGAACCAAAATAAACTTCTCCAGCATTGGCATTCATAACATACACACAAACACAGCAACATAGCCCTCCAGTGTAACAAATCATATAGATGATGTCCACTGTAAGGATTGTGATAATTTCAGCCTCAATAGTACTACTGTGGAGTACTACCTAATTCAGTTAAAATGTTTATTTATGGCATGCAGACTATGTAAACTTATGTGAAACTGATGCTTTATAATCTTAAATTTTGGAGTTTGCCCTCTAGTAACAACTTAATGTTATTTCTCCCATGAGACATTGTCAACATTAGAAAATTAAATAGGAATATTGTTACCTCGCCTTCTCCCATATGTCCTTGCTGCATGTTAAATGAGAAAGAAAACAGCCTTTCAAACATTGTTATAAGGACCAAAAGACCTTGTTTATCGCCTTTATACTAACTCAGTGATTCTCAAGCCTCTTCATACTCTAGGTCATTTAAAATGGTGTTCACAAGCTGACCTCCCCCACCGCCCGCAATACCATGCCTTCCTTGCACCATCTCTGTTACTTATCGATAAAACATGTTGATACGAGGCTGACAAAGTACGTATGTATACTCAAAGAGACTTTTTGAAAACAATTTTAGTTCTTAATTTGCACATTTTTTTTTAATCTATTCCTTAATCCTCTGCTGGGTGTATGCCTATAAGTAAATGGATTTTTTCTCACGCGCCAGGTCTCCTGACACATACTGCAACGCACCATGTGCTCTACCTTGCCAAGTTCAAGCATTCTCTAATACTGACCTTCATCTGAACTGTAGGAAAAGCCCTAACACAAGGAAAGTGGAGGACTATTGTGTTAATTTCTGTTTTCAAATTAGTTTGCTATAAAAGCTTTGCACAACCCACAAAATCCTTGGTTAAATTATTACTGGCAAATAACCAGCTGAAAAACTTAAAGAGAAAACATCTGGGCCACTAAAACTGCCTTTCAGACCTCCTGCAGTCTGTGTACAACAGTATATATTCTCTCATACTAACGTAGTACACTTCGCTGTAATTATTCGACAGCTACCCACTGCTTCCTACTTTTCATTTACCAAAACAAATCAATTCTACCACTAAAAAATACAACATTTTTCTGTCCTGGCTTCCAGGACTCACTGTCACAGTATGGCCAAACTTTCTAATCAAACTTGCACATTCTTTCTCTTTTAATCTCATTAAAATCTGTGTCTGAAAGCAGGCCAACTGTTTTCAAAACTTGGTTTCTCCTGGCAAGTACTATGAGAAACTCTGAGCGCATCATGCTTTTTATTTTGCTTCCTCATTCAAAATTGAGGCTGACAACTAGTTTAAGCATTTAAATATTTGTAAACCACAACAGAACATGAGTCGTTTCCTTTCAAAATAAAATTATATCAATCCAATTTACTTCATGATTATTTAACATCTGTAAGATCATTTTACTTCTCTGATCTTTTGCTGATAGAGATACTCACAATGAACACCAAGAATACAAAATAATGAAGCCCTAGTCTTCAGACTGGAGCATACTCTCGAGCGTTCACACAGGTACTGGCTTTATGGGAGAATCTTAAAGGCTGAGGGCCTTTACAAGTATAATTTTTCCATGGTAATTTTGAATTTAGAAATCCAAGATGCTCATATAGTCCTCAAAGTAGAAAGTTTTAAGGAACTTGTCTTTCATGGAAAGCAATCAGCAATCTTACTGCATTTCTGACAAAGCTCAGAGGCCTTTGCACGTTTTAGAAAACATCAAGCACTTTCAAAACCAGCTCTGCCTATAAAGCCATAAAAATCTTGCTTGTGGTTTCTAAATTACTAACAAACCCACACAAACTCCTTCACTCAGTACACCCATTCTTGGCAACAAAGCATGCAGCAGAGATACGATTCCCACTGCGGATGTGTGACCACAATTTAGGTCAGCAGACTCCTCACTGTTTTGCCACCTGTGTCACTCAAGGCAATAGGATTTTTCTCCTTTACCAGTATGGAAAACAACAAATAAAGCTCAGCAACCAGCTAGGAAGTATTTCCAGTGCCAAATACTACTGAAGAGGTTTTGAGAACCAAATACTAAGATTTTTTTTTTTCTTCTTAATTTGCTTATTTTCTGCATTTGCTTCATCTAACCCACAAAATACCAACATTTGACATTTCAAAACATTTCTCAGGAGCCACAGTTTATAAACTACCCCAGTGCAGCACAGATACAAACTTTCTCTGCTCATTGAATTCAGAGCTCATCACATGCCATTAATTTCACACAATGTAATACACAACACGAAACTAAAGAATGCTCTTTTGGCAGGCCAGGAAGACAGCTAACTGTGATCTACCAATTCTGTCTCTGGCTTTCATAATTTCATATTAAGAGAAATCTTTGCTATAGGAATACCCTAGCTAAGCTGCAACATAAACAAAGCCTTAAGGTAACTGCTACCAACCAAAGAAAAAGATTTAATTCTGAAGATCAGGATGCTTGCCTGTCCCCGGCTGAGAAATGAGACAACTACAATGTTGGTTTGGATTCCTCAAATCTATTTTTCCTTTCCCCATTTCTTCAACATTTGAGATAATTGCATAAAGGGCCTAGGACAGATTTACTAATCTCACAAGATCTTTGAGCAAGAATTATGTTACAAAACCTAAACAATACAAAGTGTTTATGCAACCGGTTCAACTGCTTATTAATAACTTAGGCAGAAATATTTTTCCGATAAAATCAGTCTGAAATTTAAAATGCTATTAGCAGCTGCTTCAATTATTTTGTCACCTCAGCCCTCGTGCAACACTCCTTTCTATGTAAGAAATAAAGCCAATGATCCTTTGCAAAATCTGCTGCTTTTACTGTCTTTCACTTTCAGGAACTTAATGAATAAGCAACCCACTCAAATTTTTGTGTCTTTTCTTCATTTGAGACACTTAATGGGCTCCTCGCCATCTCCCTCTGTTTTTTTTTTTTTTTAACTCTCATCTTTTATGTCTAATGTACCTCCAATTACATGTGTTGAGCTTTCTTCCCTCTATAGGAAGCACCAAAAAGACTGTCAGCATGTTGTGTATGCGCATGTGTATACACATGTACACATATACACATTGCATGCGTATACACATGCAATTCTGTATAATGTACACAGTTCCCAATGACAAACATATTCTGCTGAGGAAGCATGAAAAATGTATGCAGGAGTCCTAAATCACTTAAACCCCAAACTTACTACAAGGTTGTCCTGCAAAAAGTGTGTCCAGGCTGAGCACCTGGCGCTCTTTAATGGTTCCTGCTGCCTTCCACTCTGCAGGATGGTAGCAATTTCAGATGTATTTTGTGCCATTAACTGTGGAAGATTTACACAAAAAGGTCAGCTCAAGAGCAGACTGTTTAAAGCAAAGGGACCAGCGAGCAAGATGATCCATATCTCCTGTGAACACCATCGCAACTTTCTAAGGCCATGTTACAACTAGGAGAATTATACAAGCATCCATACTTAATATTAATGTAAACATCATAAAACCCTGAAATGGACAGAGCGACTGAATGCTCAAAGTTAAATTATGGTTGTACCTTCATTCTCACTACCTTGCTATAGTTGGTTTAAGACATTTAAAGTCTAGATCGATGCAATACCTGTCCAGTTCTGTACCTAATTTATAACTTTAGTCCAAGAGCTCCTAAGGCAGGGATTCTGTTCTTTACCTTGGCACAGAGGCCACTATAGTAACACAGTGCAATCTTTTACATTAGTCATTGATACGCTCTCATTTCTTTCCTCTCAAAGATCAAATCAGACTAGCTTCATTGGTGAGTTCCAAGGAATTTCAGGTTTCTATGCACATTAATCACTGAAGTTACCAGAGAAATATTTTTGAAATTTAAAAGGGACAAATATTCATGTTGACTTTTTACATAACCTGACTGTGAGAACAAGTAACACCCTTCCACCAGGCATTAGCTCTACCACTTGAGACAGCTTCCCACCATCCAGCTCCAGGAAAGCCAGGAAACTTACGTCAATTTGCATATACTCTTTCATATTCTACACCAATCATACAGGCTGTAGGAAAAATATTCAAGCTGAACAAGATTTTGCTGAAGTGATCCCAATTTCATAAGCTTTCATGAATGAAGTAATGATTTTAACTGCTGATTTTTAGGGACAAAAATGACAAGCAAGAACGTGAGGTACAAACGAGGGAACACTACAGGGGAAATGGGCTACAACTCTTGCAGATGAAAGCAGTAAAGAGTAGAAGGGAAAACAAAGCCTTTATACCATCATCAGCTATTTGTTAAGTATTATATAAATGGAGAAAAGTGCAGGAGTCCAGATTTTTAAAATAAGAGGGATAATAAGGTTTTCTCTAAAACTATCTTGAAACCTCTCCATATTATTTTAAAAACTTTTAACTGTAGATGGTCATAGGTGGCCAGTTTCTTATGTTGGAAGGCAAATATCATCAACACACAAACACAGAGTTTCAAACTTTCACTGAAACTGTTTACTCTGCTAGTCATTTTCTTCCCCTAAACAGAAGATAGGGAGATAATTTGGTGCTGGTCTGTCTTCCGTTTCACTTAGGACTTAACTTTTAGAGAAACAGAAGTATCGAAGTTTCTAAATTAGATTATTTCTAAATGTGAGCTAAATATCCTTGAATCTACTATAGAAAATATTTATGCTTTCTTGAGTTTTATTTTTAAATTATAGAAAAATAATTGAAGTACAATCTGGTTTTGCCATTCTAACAGCAAAGCCTTGTTTCTAAATTATTCTACATTAAACTAAATTTTGTAATTGTAGCAAGATTAACAATGCTGTGCACAAGGCCATTAAAATACGAACTATAGTATTTTATTACCTTTTTTTTCCTACTACTCCCTGAGGGCACGTAGGGTTGATTGTAAGTCAAGAGTTAGATTTTATCATCACTTCATGTTTCACAATGCATTTCATACGTAATGCATGGACCACATGTTTCTGCCACAAGTACATTTCACAAGAAGTTCTCTAAGGTTGTCTCAAGCCCCATTTCACTAGCGAAGAATCTAATCGTATCCTTAACCAAACCAAAAGCAGAAAAGTTAAAATTATAAAGAACATCTACATTTAACCTACCTTTGGTTAAATTATCTCTGTATATGAAGGAGTAATTCAGAGACCAAGGCAGGTATTTTCAGAGATATATATAAACTTTCTCAAATTAGAACATAAAAATCATATCTACCTATATATACACAAAGGTACTTCTCCCTATTTAAAAGAGCCTTACAACTTAAGTCTTAGATGACATTTTCAATAGGAAAATAGATAGCGTCATAAAGTGTTGCATGGGAGGCAAAAAAGTACTGTTTTTTATGCATCCCTCGGTTTTAGTTCTAAAACATTAAGGACAAAAGGATTAGGCCACAGTTGCATGATTGTTAAATAAGGCATGTGCATGTGTGCAAGAATTTTGCCCAGTTCAAGCACGTAATCTCACTTCTGTCAAATTATCCCGAGCACATGATATGTTGACTGTGGAATCAACAGCTGATGCATGGCAAAGAGTGGCACAGACACGTGACACCTGATTCAGGATAAATTCTGTCAATATACAATAAATTGATCAAAATTTTAACAAATCTACACTGACAGTGAACTTATTCCATGTCAGAACTTTGCATCTTACAGTCACAACCATCTTTATGATATTGTCAAATGAGATCCCTGTTTTAAAAATTCTTGTCAAAAACAAGCTAAGAAGGGATATGACAGATTCCCTATTATGTGGATTTCAAACACTACTGAACTTCAAAGAATGAAAAACATTCAAATAGTATTTTCTTAATCTAAGACAATCTTACAAAAATTAAACACTTCTATACATACATCTGGAGAATGCATACTTGTCACTTTTAGCAATGTCAAAGTCAGCATGAAATCAGGAAAGTAGACTACATTTGGCTGCACAATAAAATCAAGGATTAACACCTTTGGAAGTACTGATTCTGCAAAATTAAGCGGGAGAGATGCCAAAAACTGCATTTTTTCCTCCTAATTTAAAGAAACACAATGTTAAAAAAAAAAAAAAAAAAGTGATGAGAAGTATAGCTCTATAGCTTATGTCCAAAATGTCCAAACAAATGCTGAAAAACTAGAGTACTATTGTAAAGTACAACTTTATTTCAAGGAAAGCCAGATGCCTGAAGACAAGTATTTACCCATTCCTTCTGTTGAGAAGGCTAACGAAATGAAGTTTCTGGTCTTCCGTAGCATTCAAGTACACGTCTAACTAGAATCTTTCATTTTAAATTCCAGGTCACTGCCACAAAACACAACCAACACACAAAAGCAAACCAGTTTCTTTCCTTCTAAAACCCTGAAGAGAATCTACCTATAAAAGCCTTTTAGCGCTGGCTCTTCTGATGGTAACACTGTTTTACCGATGATTATGTTGAATTAATTGGGTTCACATGGTAAAAAGGTAGAACCTGACTGTATGGCACAAGGCAGATTATCAGCGTAACAACCTCTAATAGTTTGATTGTTGACAACTTTATACATCAAATAACTGGGGGGGCTGCGGAGGAGAGAAGCTGAGAAGCAGTGAAAGTAAAGCTACTGTTTCCAAGGCTTGTGCAATGAGCTCCAAGTTTTTAGGGCTTTAATCTGCCTAAAGCAAAACTGCCTCATTGAAGAGATTGTGCAGTTATATTCAGAAAAGAATAATCTTTGGGGGCAAAAAAAACCCCTAATGGCTCTCATTCCCATGCACTGCACAAAGCCAGCTGTAGTGGTACCCAGATGCTGCCACTGGACGACCCAGGGCAGAAAGGCACACGTGCTTCCAACTCAGCCAGCCCAGCCCAGCATCGGTTCAAATCCACCTTTGTGAGAAGTTCAAGCTAACTCCCGGATTGAGCAACCAGGACAAAAAGTCCTAGACATGCTTCCAGCGTGCTATTCAAGCATAAGTTTGAAGGGGAAATAGAAACAAAAAAAAGGTTAACTGTGAAAACACTGCAGTTAGGTTTGTGTGAGAGCTTTAAAAAACAGCATCATTATTATTCCTTTGCTGCTGATGCTCTCAGGTAGTCTGTCAGACTAACACAGTGCCATGCGGACTGAACCTCAAGAGATGATCTTTCATACATTTCAACAACCACTTAACTACTCACGAAAGGTGACAAATCAAATCCAGTCTCACTCCTCTGAAAAACACAGAAGCTTCAAAGCTACCTTTGAAGTTTTCTTCGCTATCAAACAGAAGAATATAGAGAAATCTTCTCTTAAACAAACCTGCTTTAAATCCTAAACATAGCTACAGCTTTGTCTACAAGGTATCAATATTTTTTCTGTAATTCCAATTACGTTACACTGCATCACTGCAAATCAATTTAAGTGGAACCCTTAAATATCATACATATTTGAATATAACTCTTCCTGCTCCTCCAGGAACCCCCACAGGGTCAGAGATAAGAAACCAAAAGCAGAAAAGCAAATCCTGGAGCACAACCCTCTGCTGGAGACTGGATGTTAGTTGGAATTATACATGGATTTCAGAAAAGCAGCCACCCTACTGCCGGTGGCACTAAGCTTTATTTTATATTAATGTATGACTTCTGGACAATAGACAAGAAGTTATAAAAACATCCAATCTTTCCCCTCAATACATCTTCCAGTTTACGATATGGAATAATTGGCAGCATTTATCTTTTGAACACTTAAACTATTACTATATTCACTTTAAAAATAAGAAATGAAAGGCAGAGTTTGCAACTGGAAGAATGAAAAGCATTACACAGCTTTGCCAGCAAAAAGCAAATCACGTTCTCAGCCACAGAACTACTTCAAATGTGGTAACTTCAGTAAATTCCAAAATACATATTAATGATGGAATTTCTGACAGGAGGAAAGGAAAGAATGGGATGTCATATGCTAAAAATCGCTAGACAGAATTTATTTTGTAAGTGACAAGAACAATTCATTGAACCTATTATAGAATTTCTTGAACAACTTATAAAAACATATAGAAAAGGTGCAAAAACTTCACAAACCTCCCATTCGCAGTCATGGTTCACATGCACTGTGTTCCTGGATTCTTTATACGTAGCATTTCGCCTTAAGAGATGCTGATATCTGCCTATACCATCATACCTATACCATGAATTCTGCCCATGCTTTAATGAATAACCTGAAATGCAATTCCTGCATGTGACTTGCAAGAGCTGGATTTACACTGGCATATACTTACATGCTGCAAGATTTAAAACCAGAGTTCCTTAAGTACAATAATAGGTTCAAAGCAACTTATTTTTGTCTGTGGAAGGAATGATCACAAGACAGCCTGGAATGCAACATGAGGGCTTTGTTCCTTTTTTAAGCATCCTCTTACTTCACTCCCAAACAATAAGGAAATAGTAACACAAGCAAGTCAACATCAAGCACGCTCAA